CCTCTCCCAGTCCACAATTCCCACTGCTCTCCACCCCTGCACATCTCACTCATCCCCACTGAATCCTTCCCACTGCAGGGAGCTGCTGAGGAGCCTCATGGTCCATCCCTGGATTCTCCAAGCACTGACCCCCCATCCACTCTGACCACAGCCAGGGCCACATCCCACCGCCTGCCCAGCGTCCATCCATGGAGGTGACCACCGTGTCCTCACGTCCTGCCTCACCCACTGAAGGAGATGATCTCTGTGAGGTAGATGTCATCACCGTGGCCATACACAGTGTGACACTGCTCATCTGCCTCTGTGGACTGGCTGGGAACGGGGCTGTGCTCTGCCTCCTCAGCCTGAAAACTGGTAATTATCGCATCTTTAACCTGGCTGTTGCTGACTTCCTTTTCCTTCTTTTCACAGTCCCCACCAGCCTTCTCTTCCTGGTGGAGGACGTGTCCTGCATTCCTATCTTGCCCCTGCTGTACCAGCATTTCTTTTTCCAGCTCTCCGTAGTCTCCTACTACTGGGCATTATTCCAGCTGATTCCCATCAGCAATGTGCTGTATACGTACAAGCTCTGCAAGCTCTGCTGCCGCTGCAACCTTCCTGAGCGCCTGTGGTTGGTGGTTGGAAGTGTTCAATACTGGGCCTTCTTTGCTCTCTTCACTGTCATTCTCACGGTGACATTCCTGTGCCCATCACATGAGCAGGAGCACTGCTGGGCAGCTCTCATCTCCATGTACACCGTCATCCTACATCTCTTTGCTGCACCCGTGGCCATTTCTTTCTCAGTTGACTTCATTAAGGCCAAGTGGGGCTCCCAGCAGCAGCAACCCAAGAGGCGCGACATCGTTATCCACCTCACTGCCCTGTTAACTCTCCTCCTCAGCTTCTGCCATTTCCTGCAGCAGCTCGGTTACATCACTGTGCCATCCCAGTTTTTTTTCCTGCTCACCTGCATCAACAGCAGCATCAAACCCTTCATCTACTTCTTAGTGGGGAGTTGGAGGACAGGCAACTCCAGGGGGAGCTTCATGGGGCACTGCTCCACGGTGAGCTGCTGGAGGCACTGTACAGTGGAGTCTCTCAGGGACTCGCTCCAGAGGGTCTTTGAGAAGCAGAAAGAAGAAACAGCCTGCAGAAATTATGTCACCAGGGACACGGGGGTCTGAGCTGGTTGATCCCTTCCACTGCTCTTCTAAAGGACCCCAGGAGAGTGGCTGAAGGTTTCCTTGAGCCTCTTGATTAAACAATATCCACAGGATCACCCTCCCAATGGTGGTGTATTCCTGCAGAAGAAGGAAGCAGGAGCATTGCCTTGGGTGATTTTTGGGGGATGCTCTGCAGGAGGCACATTGGAGCATGCCTTTCCTCCTCCCTCCTGGATCCACACGGCTCCAGGCAGTGCAGCTGGGCTCAGTGCTGTTCCCCAGCTCAATTCCCCATGGAATGACCCTCACGGCCTTGGAGCCAGGGAATGAGCTACATCTCCTTTGGCTCAGCAGATGAGTTTCATGGTGTTTTCAGGGAGCTCTTGCCTACAAAGCATGGGATGTGTTAAGCCCTGGGGACACACCCAGCACAAGGCATCTGAGATTTCCCAAATCCCTGCAGGACTGGTGCCTTTCGATGGCAGGAGAGGGGTTGGGATCACATGGAGCATCCTTCCCAATCTGTCTGGCAAAGCCGGCCCTGCATTCCCAGCTGATGGGATTCCCAGCTGATGTTGACGGCAACACTGCAGCTGAGGCAGCCAATGGGTGCCCTTATTCTGTTAAGTTCCGTGTGGCCTCGGTTTGGTTTCAGTTATGTCAGATTGAGATTAAAGGTTAAAAATCGGCCGATTTTTACCAAAAAGTGATCTTATTTGGATGCATTAGAAGGTCCGTGTTGCTTTCTCCAACTGCTACACAAATTGAACACAGAATTTCTTGAATAAACAACATCCAGGCTTCAGTGCAGAGCCTGCAAATCCTCAAATCTTGTATTCGGAACTGCTTGAACTTGTCCCATCTCATTCCTGGGGTGGCTCCTTAGGACCCTGCAATATACATGTCCTGTGAATCTTTGATTTCTCATTCAAATCCCATTTTTCCACTTATATGCCTCAATTTCAGTGGTATTGGACTTTCACCATGCAGTTTCCAAGAGGATTCATGCAATAATCAACTCTGTGCCTGAGACAGAGCACAGGAACAGCAGAGGGATGACTTAGGATTTCAGCAATGTAATTTCTGCTAAGAGGCAAATCAATTATGCTCTTCTGGATTTAGTCCTTAGAAAGTTCCAGTTTTGCAACTTGAGTCATCTTCCACACTCCCTTGGCAGTCAGACTGCAGCCTACAGGGAATTCCAAGGAACTCCAAGAAAGCTGAGGTAAGATTATTCCTACCCTGACACGTGCCTCAGGGATCTGGGATGATCCTGCTGGAAACTGCCGGCCCCGGGACCAGAACTGTCACCTCTCTTCCCTGCTGACACCATGTTTGTGTCCCCATCTATGGAATCTCACATCTCCCACAGCCCAGCCCTTTCAAGGACAAACATCATGATCCAGGAGATGATGGGGCTCCAGGAGAGGTGGAGAGGGACCTTGGACAAGGGCATGGAGTGACAGGACAATGGGGGAATGGCTTCCCACAGACAGAGGGTGGGTTCAGATTGGATATTGGGAAGGAATCCTTCCCTGTGATGGTGGTGAGGACCTGGCACAGGTTGCCAAGAGGGGTGGGGTCAGGTAAAAACAAACACAAATACTGCCATGTGTGAGGAGGAGGAGGAGGAGGAGGAGGATGAGCCCTAATGAAGGGCTGGAAAGAGGATCAAAGCACCCCAAAATCTACTCCCTGGAAGCTTTCATTGCACCATCAAGGGGATTGGCAGTAATTAGGGTGGGCTCTGAGTGCTGATAACCTGGCTGCAAGCAACTGAGTGCTGTCCTTCCCTTGGGCTGAGGCAGCCTGCATTGGAATGACAGAAATTGAATTCTCAGCTCAGTTTCATTTCTTGAGGCCAGGGAAGGTTTTGGCAGTGATCCCAGATCTCTTCCCAGAATGGGAGTTGTTTCTGAGAAGCAGCCAAATGCTTCAGCAGTGCTGTGAGCACTCGCAGCACTGCCAGCAGCCCAGTGCCACCAGCACCAGCAGCAGCTCTCTGCTGCTGGAGGCAAAATGACCCCTCAGGGTAGGGAAATGAGGAATGGCAGAACCTGCTGAGAGAGGAAAAGCATTTGGAGAATGCCACATTCGGAAGAGTGTTTCTAGTCAGGAGGAGATGAGGAGCCACTCAAAGAAATCTGCATGTTGAGATATTTCCTCTCTGGCAGCAAAAAAGTCAAGACAAACAGCTCTGAGGAAGTGAAATTCTGACGTAGCCAAAGATTAAATTTCCGATTCTCCCGCCAAGCCTTGCGAAACAACTGAGGGACAGGGAACAAAGAGGAGCCAGCAGGACAGCAGTGAGGAGCTCCTGGTGATCTGGGCACTTTCTCCTTCATGTCACTGACCGGGCAGGAGCCGCTTTAGGACATGGATCCCAAAGGAGCCAGAGGTTCCAGGAAGCGCCACTGATCTGCACAGACCCCTTTGCCTGCTGCTGCCCCACAGGGAACAGGTCAGTGGAATGTTTTCCTTCCTCCCTGCCCCACCTTCCTCTCCTCCAGCAGCTGCTCTGTTCCTGCCACCCTCTCCCAGTGACCCCAGTGCCCTCCCCAGCTCCTCTCTCTTCTCCTGTGCTTCCCAAATGCATCCTAATGCAGAAATGGGCCAGAAGAAACTTTCTAACATAAGGAAAAGCATGAGGAAGCAAAAATTCTTTACCTGCACAAGACACTGAAAAATCTCTTCTTGTATGTGAGACTTTACAACAGAGTATTAATACATTGTAGGCATTAATAAGTGTTGCTTATCTAATGCATAAACACCATTTTCCTAGAACTCATTTCCATGCATCCACCTCATCCTAGAAATCCTTTTATGATCCTGGAGGTTTATTAAGAGGGGTCTCTCTGGTGGTCATATTCAATGAATGCTGCCATATTAAAGGTGACTTTGCCTGGAACTTTTCCTCTGGCCATGCACTGTTGCTTCTTGTTCCAGAACTTGCCCCAAAACCCCTAAAGGCCTCCTTCTCTGTTTCTGCACTGGTTCCTGCCATGTTTGTCATCCTGTCTGCCAGCTATTACATCCTGTGAGAAACAACCACCCACTGTTTAAAATTTTTAAACGTGTATTAAACCTTAACAAAAAAACACAGCAAAAGGACTGAATAAGGAGAAACAGGTTGGGAACTTCCCTCCTGGCTGCCTAACATGTGGCTGGCTCATGTTCAGGATGGATGCTTCACCTTTGATACCGTGGTTGGATTGCATCAGCTAACCCTGCCCCCCCCGCCAAAATCTGTCAGTCAGCTCTTCTTTGCTGTTTATTGCTGGAGCTTGCTTTCCTGCAGCTTCTTTGGAGGGTAAGTTGTTCTCATGCTGCACACCCCCACCCCAGCAACAAGCTTTTGTGCAGGCCTTCTTTCTACCTGTCCTAGATGACTCAAGATCTCTGATGGCAACAGTACAGAGGGGGGAAAGCAGACTATGGGGAGAACAGGGGGCAGCTAAACAACAGACTAAATAACATAATTATACCTCAATAAAGCTTCTCTTAATATTCACACAGTATTCATCCCTTAACTGCCAGAGCAAATCATCTCATGATCTGTCTATAACACATCCTTTTAAATTCTGGCCACTTTTGAACGACTTCAGAAGAAGTGAAAATGCTTTTTCTCTATGATATTTTTCAGCCTCCTGCCAAACAGCCCAACCCTCCCACCCCACCATTTCCACCGCTCTCCACCCCTGCACATCTCACTCCTCCCCACTGAATCCTTCCCACTGCAGGGAGCTGCTGAGGAGCCTCATGGTCCATCCCTGGATTTTCCAAGCACTGACTCCCCATCCACTCTGACCATAGCCAGGGCCACATCCCACCGCCTGCCCAGCGTCCATCCATGGGGATGAGAACCATGTCCCCCCCTGCCATCTCACCACTGAAGGGGACAGTCTGTGTGAGACAGATGTCCCCAGCGTGGCCATAGACAGTGTGACACTGCTCATCTGCCTCTGTGGGCTGGCCGGGACCAGGGCTGTGCTCTGGGTCCTCGGATTCTGCATCCAGAGGGACACCATCAAACCCATCACTGCCTGCATCCTTGGCCTGGCCATCATCAACTTCCTCTTCCTCATCTTCATGGTCCCCTCTGCTCTGCTCTTCCTGCTGGAGGATTTGTCCTGCTCTGCCATCATGTCCCCAGCATACATAAGCTTCCTTTTCCTCCTCTTGCTGATTTTCTACCATGTAGGGCCATACCGGCCAGCAGCCATCAGCATCGTGAGGTGCAGGTGCATCCTCTGCCCACGTGGGCTCTTCTGCCACCTTCCCCAGGACCTGTCAGGGGTGCTGATGAGTGCCGTGCCCTGGGCCCTTTCCATCACTGCCATCGCTGCCATTTCTGTGGTGACTTCCCTGTCCAAGTCACAGGAACACAAGCTCTGCTGGAGGCTCTCATCTCCCTCTACATCCTCTACCTCCTCGTCTTGGCTCCATCCGTGGTTATTTCCAGCACAATCCCCTTCATTCATTTCAAGGGTAGCTCCCAGATGCAGCAATTCAAGAAGCTCAACATCATTGTCTTCCTCGCTGTGCTCCTCACTTTCCCCCTCAGTCTCTGGAATTTCCTGCAGCAGCTCGGCTGCACCACTGTGTCTCCCAGGTTGTTCTGTTCACTGCATGCACAGCAGCATCAACCCCTTCATCTTCTTCTCAGTTACAAAATGCTGGAGGTGCTGCTCCATGGAGTCCCTCAGGGAGTGCCTCCAGAAGGTCTCTGAGGAGCCAGAAGGAAACTCTGCCCACAGGAATGATGCCAGCAGGGACACAGGGGGGCTGAGCCTGTTAAACCCTTTAGCTTCTCCTATGCAGGACCATGGGGCAGTGGTTGAGAATTTCCTTGAGCCACCAGATTATTAAATATCCATTATATCACTCTCCTCTGTATTCCTGCAGGAGAAGGTAGCAGGGACATTGCAAAGGCCATGTGTGAGAAATGCTCTGCAGGAATCACATTGGAGCATGGCTTTGTTCCTCCCTCATGGGTCCTAGAGCACTGTTCCTCAAACAGATCCTTCCCAACAGGACTGTGATTCCAAAATTCCCCCTGGCACCTGGGTCCTGCATCCCTCTGAGGTCTAATATCAATAAACAGCACCGTGAACCCTGAGCTCCTTTGCCCCATCTGCCAGCGCTTCCCAGCTTCTCCTGGCTCCTGCTGCCAGCCAGGAATGTGGCTGGAAGGAAGGGACAGAGAGGTTATTAGCCAGGAATTTTGTGATTGTTACCAAATTTCATAGTGAACTATGTTTAATTACTCAGAGCACATTTGACTATGGTTTTTTAGCTGGTTTTGATTTAGATTTGTGTTGTCTGAGTGTCAGTAGAAAACTCTGTGATCAGTACCCCTTAGAGAACTTACTCAATAGTTGGAGAACAAAATTCAATAAAGTATTTTTTAACAGTTAACATATAACTAGAAATTAATTGAACATCATAGAATGAGAATGATATCTTGAGGGAATTAGGAATTCAGAGGCCTGAACACACCGGAAGACTTGATTCATAAATTGCAAGAGATAAATTGCAATGGCAATAAGAGAGCCATTTCCTAAGCTTGTAAACCTCAGAAAACTTAATCAATGGTAACTGTCTAACCAAGACATCAAAGTTAATAAAACATTTTTTAGCTGGGAAAAAAAAAAAAAGAGGTTATGTATTAAACTAAGAGAGACAACATATTTTGGTAGTAATTAAAAGAAACAAAACACTCATACCATGAAATAATAAATTGGGAGCACTTTTGGAGTATGTATAAAAAAGTCTTGGCTATTACGGTGCATAAAAATGCCTGAAAAATGTTGTTTCTTTGAACATGTCTATGATAAAAAAAATTTCCAAAAAGCTCACAATTTTGACTCAAAATTGTAACTAGTCTATAATGCTTTTACTGTTAGACTAAAACTTCTTGGTTTCAGAGGGGACACACCCATGGCTTGTGCTCTCTGGTGCAACCTTGACCCCCAGTGCCCCGAGCTGGGCTGGCACCGGCACAGCTGGCACAGACACGATGGCCATGGGGCACAGCATTTCTCACTCAGACTGTTCTGTGAGTATCACACCAAAGATCTCCCCAGAGATGTTTAGTTTTTAATTTTGTGAGCCAGATGCAAAGGTCTCTCAGCCTGCAGAAATTCCTCCTCTCCACTCCTTTCAGTTGCCCCCTCAGCAGGCTCCGATGGTGCAGCAGCAAGGAGAGGAAGAGGCCGTGGTCCTCAGCACGGCCACCCCCTTCCAGGAGCAGGGTGGCACCTGTGTTTGTCACCATGGGCTCCACGGGGCATCACCCTGCTCCCTGTGGCTTTGCTGAGGTCACCAGCCCCACCACATCCCACACCTTTTCTCCAGCCCCACCACATCCCACACCTTTTCTCCAGCCCCACCACATCCCACACCTTCCCACCACATCTTCCCACCAGCTCCATCAAAACCCACACCTCCCACACCAATCTCCCATCCCACTCTCCATGCAGCCCACCCACCTCACATCCTTCCCAACTCTCCAAGCCCCATGCCTGAGGCTGCAGTCCCTCCCCACGGGCTGCTCACCCCAGGCTGCCCTGTAAGGCTTTGGGGCAGTGTTTCTCTTGCAGACGCCCCTCCTGTGGTTCATGCCTGCTGTTCAGCCCCCCAGCCTCCTTTGGAGAGAAACAAGAGGCAGTAGAGGGATGGCTCCACTGGTGTTTATTGGGGTGGAGAAGCATGGAATTGCCAGGAGGAGTGGAAACACTGCTGGGGGTCCTGAGTGGGGCAGGAGAGGAGTGGGGATGTCAGGAGGGAAAGGCAGCCTGGGGGGAATTTCAAGAGGATGCCAGAGGGGGGCTGGATCCCTTAGGATTTTAGCCTTTATATTTTTCAAATCCTGTACTGCATTAGTGCATAACTCTGAACTCCATGGAAATGAAATTGTTAGTTAACTGTCTTCACATTTTGGTCAGAAAAACAATCCCTCCAGACCTGAAATTCAAGGACACTCTATGCCTCAAGCCTCAAAAGGTATAGACAAAAGTGAATTGGGTGGGGAGCAAACTGGGGGTAAATGACTTCATTACCTGAAGCTGTAATTGCAGGATTAACCCCTGATTTGTAAATGGACCAAACTTATATCTGTCTGAAAATCTCGTGACCATTGTCCATTTGGGGTATGGCCCTCTCAGAGGCTTTGACTGCCCAAGGGGTACCTTTGGAAGGCCTTTGATAAATACCTGCTTTCATTCTCTTCACTTTGTCTGGCCTCTGTTCTAGGAAGCCACGCCAAGGCATCAGGCAGGCAGGGGCTGGAGGGGGCAGGAGGGGTCTGGGTGCCACCAATCCCAAATCTCCCACTGGACGGCAGCAGAACCCAACAGGCCACACTTGCAGCCAGGGAGTGGCCTTGACTGGGAAACCAGCGGGATGGGATGGGAGGGGATGGGACGGGATGGGGCGGGATGAGGAGTGGGGCAGAGATGGGGATGAGGAGTGATACCAAAATCAGCCAGAATCAAGCTCCTAACACCAACTAATGGTGTTACCGAGGGAAGTACAAGGCAGCAGGACACACAGAAGGATCTCTACTTTACAACATGCATTTTATCCATTATAACAATACACAGGCATTAAGAAGTTTTTCTTATATAGTACATAATCACCCTTTTCCTAGAACTCATTTCCATACATCCACTTCCCACTGAGCATCATTTCATGGTCCTGGAGGTTCATTGAGGGGGGCTTCTGGAGGACGCATTCACTGATTGCTGCGATATTAAAGGTGACCTTGCCTTGAACGTTTCCTTTGGCCATGTGCACTTGCTTCTTGTTACAGAACTTGCCCCAGAAATAATGTGTGCCTCCTTATCACTTTCCCCAGTGGGTCCAGCCACATTTATCATCCTGTGTCCACACCTTTACATCTTTTAATCTTTCTGCCCAGTTAGTCTTCAAGGAACTTTAGGGGAGTTGAAAATGTTCATTCTCTCGTATTTATCAATCCCCTGCCATACCGCCCAACCCTCCCAGCTCCCTCTCCCACCATTTCCACCGCCCTCCTCCCCTGCACATCTCACTTCTCTCCACTGAATCCTTCCCACTGCAGGGAGCTGCTGAGGAGCCTCATGGGCCATCCCTGGATTCTCCAAGCACGGACTCCCCATCCACTCTGACCACAACCAGAGCCACATCCCACCACCTGCCCAGCATCCATCCATGGAGGTGAGCACCGTGTACCCTGTTTTCACCTCACCAACCAACGGACCTGGTCAGTGTGAGATCAATGTCTCCAGCGTGGCCTTACACTTTGCGACGCTTCTCTTTGGTGTCTGTGGGCTAGCTGGGAACGGGGCTTTCCTCCGGCTCCTCCACATTAACCCCTCCACCGACTTCGTTTTCAACCAGGCCATCACCGACTTCCTCTTCCTTATCATCATGGTCCCCTCGACCGTGGTCTTCCTTGTGGAGGAACTGTCCTGCTCTGCTATAATGGCCCTGATGTATTTGAGCTTTCTTTTTTACCTCTCACTGTTCTCCTACACCATGGGGCTCTACCGCCTGACATTCATCAGCTTTCAGAGGTGCAGGTCCATCCTCTGCCTGTTTTTCTGTGGTTGCCAACTCCCTGAGCGACTGCTCTTGGTGATGATGACTGTCCTGTTCTGGGTCCTCCTCTTTGTTGTCACCGCTGTCAATCCCACGGTGACTTCCCAGTGCCAGTTACACGAGCAGGAGCAATGCCATGTGGCTCTCACCTCCATATATGCTCTCAACCTCTTCCTATTTGCTGCACCCGTGGTCATTTCCAGCACAATCCTCTACATTCATTTCAAGGCTGGCTCCCAGCAGCAGCAGCAACACAAGAGGCTCGATATTGTTATTGTCCTCGTTGCACTCTTCAGTCTGCCCCTCAGTCTCTGGTCTTTCCTGCAGCAGCTCGGTTACACAGCTGTGCCCTCCCAGGCAGTTTTCCTGCTCACCTGCATCGCCAGCAGCGTCAAACCCTTCATCTACTTCTTGGTGGGGAGCTGGAAGAGAGACTGCTCCATGGGGAGCTGCTGGAGACACTGCTCCATGGAGAACTGCAGGAGGCATTCCACTGTGGAGTCCCTAAGGAAGGCGATCCACAGGGTGTTTGGGGAACCAGAAGAAAACACTGCCTGTGGAAATGAGCCCAACTCTGATGCAGAGGACTGAGCCTGTTGATGCCTTCCACTGCACTGCTGAGAGACCCCTGGACAATGGCTGAGGAATTCTGTGAGGGACCTGATCAATAAATCCCCACAGGATCACCCTCCCTGTGCTGGTGCATCCCCCACCCCCTTTCCAGCCCGCACTGGGCTCTGATCCGTGCTTGGGAGGCCTCAGCCTTGAGGAGCAGCCCCTGGGCTCAGCTCCTCTGGCGCTGATCACAAACACCCTCTGCTCCCAGGAACTGCTGCTGTCCAACCACCTCCTGGGCTTTTATCAACAGCCTTGGCAATTCTTTCACTTCCCTGGATGCCACAGCATCCCTGCTCTCACGCTTCCACAGCGAGTTGCCGGCCCCCAGGGTGGCCGGAGTGAAACATTGCTGTGGCTGAAGCCCATCCCTTGGGCCCTGTGAGCAGGGCCAAAAGGAGCCCCTTGGAGCTCTCCTGGTTCCAGCAGCGCTGAGCAGAAGCTCCCTGGCCCTGGGGCCTCTCCGAGCTGGGATCTCTCCGTCTGCTGCCCTCGGGTGATCCCCAAGCGCCGGCGGCTCCTGGGCCGATCCCCCAGGGCTGGACGCCCAAGCCTTGGCACGGTGAGGAGATGCCAAGGGATCCGCAGGGAGCATTTCCCTGCCTCCCCGGGGAATTTCTCACAGGCACCCTGCACTGACTCTTCCTGTCTGTGTGCACACACGGGAGCATCTGCTCTGGCAAATGTGGGGAAATGCTGCTCTCTCAGCTGCTCAGTGCCTGAGACACCTCCGTGGGTCAGGCCTGGCACCAAGGTTAAGGCCTGAGATACCATTGCAGCTAAATGCAGAGGAAAACAGAGCCTCACTCAGAGCGAGGGAGCAGGAAAGCTCCCAGAGTGCTGTCTGGGAAAGCTGTGGGATATGATAGGATGTGGTGAGGATGGAGAATGGGGTGGGGATGGGGATGGGGAGCCAGCATGAGGATGGGATGGGATAGGATAGGGAGGAGCTCAGCTGTGCTTCCTTGGGCCCAGGTCATGTTTTGGCAATGATCATGGAGCTGTTCCCAAACTGGGATGTGATACACCCAGCTTCTTCATCAGCACTGCCAGCACTTGTAGCATTGAAGTGCCACCAGCACCACCAGCATCCCTCTCCAAGAACTGACTCCCCATCCACTCTGACCACAGCCAGGGCCACATCCCACCACCTGCCCAGCATCCATCCATGGAGGTGACCACCATGGCTCCATCTTCTGTCTCACCCACTGAAGGAGACAATCTGTGTTAGACAGATGTCACCAGCGTGGCCATACACAGTGTGACACTGCCCATCTGCCTCTGTGGGCTGGCCAGGAACGGGGCTGTCCTCTGGGTCCTCAACCTGAAAATCCCCCACTATGGCATCTTTTACCTGGCTGTTGCTGATTTCCTCTTCCTCCTCTTTGCAGTCCCCTCCGCTCTCCTCTTCCAGTGGAGGACAGGTCCTGCTCCCTTATCATGCCCGTGGTGTACGTGAGTTTCCTTTTCCAGCTCTCAGTGATCTCCTATTACTGGGGGCTGCTCAGGCTGATGATCACCAGCGCTGTGATGTTTATGTGCAACTTCTGCAAGCTCTGCTGCCATTGCAACCTTCCCCTGCGCCTGGTGTGAGTGGTGGACAGCGTCCAAAGCTGGGCCTTCTTTGCTCTCTTCGCTGTCATGCCTGCAGTGACACGCCTGTGCCCATTACATGAGCAGAAGCATTGCCAGGCAGCTCTCATCTCCATGCACGCCATCATCCTGCTCCTCTTTGCTGCACCCATGGTCATTTCTCCCACAGTCGACCTCATTAAGGCCAAATGGGGCTCCCAGCAGCCGCAACCCAAGAGTCGCAACATCGTTATTGTCCTCATTGTGCTCCTCACTCTCCTTCTCATCATCTGGAATTTCCTACAGCAGCTAGGTTACATCGTTGTGTCCCCTCAGGTTTTTTTCCTGCTCACCTGCATCAACAGCAGCATCAAACCCTTAATGTATTTCTTGGTGGGGAGCTGGAGGACAGACTTTCAAAGGCAAGTTCCTGGAAGCACTGTACCATGGGGTCCTCAAGGGACTCTCTCCAAAGGGTATTTGAGAAGCAGAAAGAACAAACTATCTGCAGATATTATTCCCCTACAGAAAGAGGGGTCTGAGCCTGCTGATCCCTTCTACTGCTCTGCTGAAGCACCTTGGCACAGAGGCTGAGGGTTTCCTTGAGTCACCTGATTAAACAATATCCACAGGATCACCCTCCCCATGGTGATCTATTCCTGCAGAAGTAGGGAGCAGGAGCATTGCCTTGGGTGATTTCTGGGGGATGCTCTGCAGGGAGCACATTGGAGCATGGCTTTCCTCCTCCCTCCTGGATCCCTATGGCTCCAGGCAGTGCAGCTGGGCTCAGTGCTGTTCCCCAGCTCAATTCCCCATGGAATGACCCTCATGGCCTCAGCCCCAGGGAATGAGCTCCATCTCCTTTGGCTCAGCAGATGAGTTTCATGGTGTTTTCAGGGAGCTCTTGCCTGCAAAGAAGGGGACATCTTAAGCCCTAGGGACACAACCAGCACGGGGTGGCACAGATTTCCCAAATCCCTGCAGGGCTGGTGCCTCTCGATGGCAGGAGAATGTTGGGATCACACAGAGCATCCTTCTCCTTCTGTCCAGCAGAGCCAGCCCTGCATTCCCGGCTGGTGGGAAAGGACACCAGGTAGGGCTGCAGAGCTGGGGAGGGACAGCAACATTCCCTTATCCTTTCAGTGAGAATTAGTCACATTCTTTTGTGGGTCTCAGATTCAGTCAAAGAGAGAAACTAAGAGTTTCTAGCCTGGCAGAAGCCTGGGAAAGTGCTGGAGAAGAATGTAAATAATTCTTTATCTCTCTTGTTGTTCACATTGTTTATAGTTAAGTTCTATCACTGTGCGTCAAGCACTCTGCACCAATGGTGTAGATTATTTCCACATCAGGACCAATGGAGTTGGTCTTCACGAAGCTCTGTATAAAACAGCGGTGTATTTTGAATAAATCGGAGTTTTACTCTCAGCAGCTTCTGTGTCAGTCTTCTCATTCCCGTCCTGCCTTGACAGCAACATCTGGCGACCTCCATGTGGCACTGCACCCTGCCCTGAAGGGACAGGGTCTGGTGACCTGACGTGGAATTGCAGCCTCGGTAGCAGACCCGAACCTGGCGTCTTGCGGGGGTCTCCTCTGGCGCGGTTCCACACCAACATCCTGGAGGCTGTGCTCGGACACCTCTGCCTTCCTAAAGAAAGATAACGCAGAAACCGCATGTCTTCCGGACAAGGCTTGGTCCTGTTTGGACTGTGGGCCGCCTCTTAGAGGCCGGAACTGCACGGGACGGGTTTTCCCTGGAATAGCGGACTGTCGGACTCTTGGAGTTGACATCTGCTAGGGAAAGGTTTGCTAAAAATGGGAAACCAGCCATCTGCAGTCGAGCGAGCAGACTTGACTGCCTGGCAAGCCTGCATCCCTCTTGTGGGAGCTTGGCTCTCTGAGGAAGACCTGGTCAGACTCCTGAGTTGGGCTCGGGGCCGGCGATTTTCTGCGAGTCCTAGGTCCCCCTTTGATCGTAAGGTCTGGCTCGACTTGGGACGCCGTCTCACGGCGCAAATGTGCAAAGGGGACGCTACAGTGTCCAAATTGGCTCCAGTCTTGGCGGGTATCGACACAGCCTTGGACACAGGCAGGGATTCCGGAACGTTTGGGGATCCCGGAGGCGGACCGCGCAGGCACACCCTGCCCAGAGCGCGGTGCCGCTGACACCGCCCGCCCCTCCCGAGGCAGCCGGGGTGCCTCTGCCGCAGCTCAGCTTCAGCACACCCGGCGGTGCATGGACTGCGCGGGGCAGCCCCGGACTGGTGGGAGCCACCACCGCCCACGGCCGCGCAGCCCCCCGCTTTCCAAATTGCATTTACAGGGGGGCGGTGCCGTGCGCCTCCCTCCCGATTCCTTCGCTGATGGAGCCTGTGCAGACGCCACTGCAGCCTTTGGTCCATCCCCTGGCACGCCCGCTGCCACCCGTGGGGGTTTCGACTGTGCCGGTTGATTTGATTTCATTTACTGTGCCGGCATCAGTTGTCCAACAGCACGTCTTGGGCGGGACACCCGTGTTGTTCTCCGCCCTGCCCACTGTGGGTCGCGGATCAGGGAGCTGTACAGCGCTCGGGTGTATTCCGTGGCAGTGCAGACACACTGGGAGAGGGGAGCAGCCCCTCGTACTGGGCGGGCTTGGGTGGTGCAGGGAGCCCCGGATGGAATTTTATATTCCCGGGGAAACACACCCTTCTCGGACCCTGCGCGTCCTGCTCTTGTGGTTCGCAGAGCGGGATGCCAAGAAGCTGTGGGAAGACCCATGGCCAGGTGGGGTGAGGGAAGGGCAGAAATTCGGAGGAATTGCTGGGTTTCTCGCAGCCTGTTGGGAGCGTGCACTGAACTATAAGGTTGGGAGAGGTCGCTCATTTATCGGTGGTCTTGGAGTGTCCCAGGGACCCCAGATTCAGGGGCCCCAGGAAATGCCAAAGAGAAGCTGGGGGCCGAGCCGGGTGCATCTTGGCTAAGCAGACAGCCTGGGCTCCGCGTCCGCCCCCGGCTGGGTTTGGGACATTTAGCCCTGCCCACGGGGCCGAGTCCTCTGCCTTGCCAAGCATCGCAGGGTCCTAGAGCCCGCTGCTGGCTCTTCATTAATTAAAAAAAAAAAAAAAAAAAAAAAAAAAAAAAAAAAAAAAAAAAAAAAAAAAAAAAAAAAAAAAGTGGAAAGAGCTGTGTTTTCACTAACAGGTCAAAATAATGGAAAGCCACGAATCAACCTCAGCCCAAGGGATTGAATTAAGGGCGGTGGCCATGGCATTTCAGAGATTTCATGGCATTTAGGGTGCTTCTCAAGAGATGTGAATTTGGTCCTTTCTGAATTGGGTCAATTTCATTCAATTGTTTTGAAAGTTTTGAGGATGCAATTTTGACCTGAGTTCAATTTCATCATTCAAGCTGACCATTGAGGACATAATTACATAGCATAGGCAAAGCCTCACACGATACTTTTATTAACAGAACAGTTAATAACTAACAGAAGAGATAGCCTTTGACATCTGAGAGGGTTTTTCTCCCTGTCTCCCTTTTACCTGTCCATTGCAAAGCAGAAACATTCCATGGTGCAACCTCTTGTCCAGGGAAGAACAACTCAGCCAGGGGGTCTCTTTCAAGGTAAGTGCAGCAGGATCATGATCCTTCAATGTATTTTTTCTACTTTCCAGCACCTTTATTGTCTCCTGTGTCACCCAGGCCACTCCCTACCTCAGCTTCCTTTCAAAAGAGCAAAGATTTCAAAGCAAAAGTTTTCCTGTGTGTCCCTGCCAATGGCAGGAGGAGAGATGGAATGAGATGATCTCTAAGGTTCCTTCCAACCCAAACCATTCCATGATGATTCCCCATGTTATTCAGCATCCACCCCAGACAGGAGTTCCCCTGCTGCACACAGCACAAGCTTGACAGAGCTCAGAGAGCATTTGCACAATGCTCTCAGGCACAGGATGGGATTGTTGGGATGTCCTGTGCACGGCCAGGAGCTCAAGTGCAGGATTCTTGTGGGTTCCTTCCAACTCTAGATATTTTATGGCTCTATTTCATGATGACTCTGATGACTCTCTGACGGTTCCACTGTGTTGTCCCTATTCTCTGGCTCTGGCACATCCACAAAAACCCTCTGGAAAGCAACACTAACAGAGGGGGTGAATTCCTTTGCACAGCTCCCAGCCAGGAAGTAAATCAGAGGGTGGGCACTGCTGTTGGCTCAGCCAAGCAGGACAGAGGTGCTGAGGGCAACGACAGAGAAGTCAAACACCCTCAGCAAGAGCCAGAACCCAAAATCAGCAGTGGAGAAGGGGAAGGAGACAAGAAGCAGCAGGAGCAGGGCCCAGAGCTTCCTGGGGGCTGTTTCCATGAGCAGCACAGGAGCCTGGCCAGCAGGGCCAGAGCAGAACAGGTCAGGGTGAGCACTGAGAAGAGGCAGCTCAGGACCAAAGCCATGAGTGCCAAAGGGCAGAAATAGAGGCTGACAGTGAGCAGGAAGGAGAGCAGCCAGAGCAGGGCAAACAGGAGCACCGGGAAGCACTGGGAGCGGTGGCAGGGCCAGCTGGACACGGGGAGGACAAACAGAGCTGTCACAGCACTGGGGGCTGTCAGAGAGGAGACAGCGGCAGTGAAAGCCAAGGGGATGGCGACCTTCAGCCCAGCTGTCCCACCCCACGAGCCCAGCTGGTGGCAGAAGCTCTCTGGGACAGAAAATAACCCCAGGGCGATAGCGATGGAGAGCAGGAAGGTGAAGCCAGCCATGGCCAGGCTGAGCACACAGGGGGTGGGGGGTTCCTGCAGCTGTGGAAGCCAAGGAGCAGGAGCACAGCCCCATTCCCACCATTCCACACAGGCACAGCAGCAGCAGCAGCGTGGCAGGCACTTTGCTCCAGTGCCTGTTGTCACTCTCGCTCCAGTTGTCGTGGTTCTCCTCATTCCAGCTTCCTTTGGATGCCTTCCCACCGGGCTGGCTCCAGCAGGCAGGGCTGTCTCCCTCGCTGGCAGGGGACAAAGTGCTCATTGTGACACCTCTGCTGCTTCTCCTTGGCCTCACACAGCTGGAGGGCTGACACAGAGTCATCCTAGCAATGCTGCTGTGTCCCAAACGTGGCTTTTCCCATCTTTTCCTACTCACAGCTTCCATGGGGAGCAGCACAGGGAGAGGCGAGGGACAGGACAGATGGCAAGTAGGATGTTGGAGCCTGGTCTGGTGTGCCTGGCAGAAAAGCCAGGGACATACCTCCTTCCTGGCTGTGGACAGGACAGAGCTGGAGGAGGAAAACAATTGGAGAAGGAAAAGATTGCCCATGGAGATAGCAGAGAGCAAATGGCTTTGGGATGGATGTGACCTGGACTCTCAGGTGTCTGTTGAGATCACTGAGCTGCTGGAGGATTCCTTCATCAGGACACTCCTTTGAATATTCCCTCCAATTTCCCACAGTATTTATCACTTTTAATTCCCTACAAATCTCAATTCTCCCCCCAAAATTCATCACCAGGCTCCACCCAATGTGGAGCCACTGATTAAGCTGAACGAGAAGAGTCTGACCTTGTTTCCTCTCGCAGCCTGGAGAACTTCACCGCAGTGCACTCACATCTCCTCACACACCCCAGCTGCTGTCCCTGGGGTGGGATCTTCAGGAGCTTCCCTGGAATGGTCACTTGGGAAAGGGGAGCGAAGCCCGCGGGGCGAGCCCGAGCAGCGTCCGGCGCGGGCTCTGTCCAGCTCCTGCCACAGCCCCCTGTTCTCCGTGCTGCCTCGTGTTCTCCAGGGCTCTCACAAACAGGGAACTAGTTCAGAGCCTGGGACAGGATCAGGGCTCTGCTTCCCATCTGCTCTTCACTCTGTCCAGGAACTGAGGAACAGGAGAGAGCCTCAGCAAGGAGACCTAAGGGAAAAGCAGCTTGTCCCCATGTCACCTTCCTCTTCTGTTTCTAAAGGAACCAAGATCCCATAATCTTGTCTTCTGAACTGCCAGAACTTGCCACATCTCATTCCTGGGGTGGATCCTTAGAACCCTGCAATACAAATGTCCTGTTAAAATTTGATTTCTCATTCAAATCTAGGTTTCCCACTTGTATACTGCAATTTCAGTGACCCTGGACCTTCACCATGCAGTTTCCAAGAGGATTCATGCAATAATAAATTATGTGCCTGAGATGGAGCATAGGTACACAGCAGAGAATTATTTAGGATTTCAGCAATGTAATTTCTGCTGAGAAGAGGCAAATCAATGCTGCTCTCCTGGCTTTAGTCCTTAGAAAGTTGCAGGTTTCCCCTGAGTCATCTTCCACACTCCCTTGTCAGTCAAACTGCAGCCTATAGTGAATTCCTTGAATTCCTAGAAGGCTGAGGTGAGATGATGCCAACACAGGCTGACATGTGCCTCAGGGATCTGGGATGATCCTGCTGGAAACTACAGGCCCTAGGACCAGAATTGTCACCTCTCTTCCCTGAGGACACTGTGTTTGTGTCCCCAGCCATGGAATCTCACATCTTCCATAGCTCAATCCTTTCCAGGGAAAACACTTCATGATCGATGAATTAACGGGACTCCAGGAGAGGTGGAGATGGCCTTGGGACAAGGGTGTGGAGCATCAGAACAGGGGGGAATGGCTTCCCATAGACAGAAGGTGGGTTTAGATGGATATTAGGGAAGAAGCCTTCGTGTGAGGGTAGTGAGGACCTGGCACAGGTTGCCCAGAGGGGTGGGGTCAGGTAAAAACAAACACAAATGCTCCCATGTGTGAGGAGGAGGAGGAGGAGGATAAGCCCTAATGAAGGGCTGGAAAGAGGATCACAGCACCCCAAAATCTGGTCCCTAGTAGCTTTCATTGCACCAAGGGGATTGGCAGTAATTAGGGTGGGCTTTCAAGTGCTGGTAACCTGGCTGCAAGCAACTGAGTGCTGTCCTTCCCTTGGGCTGTGGCAGCCTGCATTGGAATGACAGAAATTGAATTCTCAGCACAGATTCCTTTCTTGAATCCAGGGAAGGTTTTGGCAGTGATCCCAGATCTCTTCCCAGAATTGGAGTTGTTTCTGAGAAGCAGCCAAATGCTTCAGCAGTGCTGTGAGCACTCGCAGCACTGCCAGCAGCCCAGTGCCACCAGCACCAGCAGCAGCTCTCTGCTGCTGGAGGGAAAATGACCCCTCAGGGTAGGGAAATGAGGAATGGCAGAACCTGCTGAGAGAGGAAAAGCATTTGGAGAATGTCACATTGGGAAGCGTGTTTCTAGTCAGGAGGAGATGAGGAGCCACTCAAAGAAATCTGCATGTTGAGATATTTCCTCTCTGGCAGCAAAAACTTCAAGACAAACAGCTC